AAAAAAAAAAGCACCTACTCCCAAATTAATTTTTATAGCGACTAATTTGAAACTGCTTAGAATACATAACTACTTCATATTGGGCATGGCCAATAATTTAATTTTTTTCTTTTTTTTCACAAATGAATGCGGTCTAAATTGTAACACAGAAATATCCTTTCACAACTCTCAGTGACAGCACCTTACAGATAGTGGTTTGCCCTTGTTTTTCTTGCTCCTTAGTGATATGAACAAAGGGTCATGGTAAAAAGTCATGAAAGTTTCAAGATCAAAGTAGCGGCGCCGTTTTTCTTGTTAGTTTGCGAGGCAGCACTCTATCGAGGGTGAAGGTAAGAACAATGACCAAATCAAAGGATGAGTTCCAATAGGCAGGTTTCAGTTTCATTAGGTCACATAGTAATAGATCTGCTGGATTATCCAATTTCCATGCTGGATATTTTGAGTATTTTCATTATCACCAACCTAAATGGCCACACTTAACTTGTCCAATCAAAACTCTGGGGAAACAAATAAATTTATACACTATAACTTTATAAAACAAAACAAAACCCCAAACCATATATATCCTAAACACAACTGCACTGAAAACTAATGACCACACCAAGAAGGATTACTTAAGGCAAATCTTAAGTGGGAAAAAAAAAGATTACCTTTAATTTCTTATTTATCTTGCAACAATATCTGTAAACCATGGCCAGATTGAGTGGTCCAAAATCTGCGTAGAAGCTTTAAAAATGAAAAACAAAAATGCATATGTATATTCTAGGTGCTTTAAATATAAATGCTTTTGTGGGCTACAGGTCAAATTAAGATAAGTACATACCAAATTATTATCAGTCATAAAGCATAAAGGTATTGCCTGATTCATAGAAAATGCTATTCAGGCAAACTGCTATAAAATATAATTAGTTAAATTCATGATTTAATATAAAATGAAAATACCTTCAAAATAAAAAAACTGCGGGGTTTTTTTTACATATTTTTCCATTGTAAAAAAAAGACAAAAAAACATGATCTTACTTTAGTAAGGTAGTCTAGATTTCGTTTGCAGTGCAAACTATTAGAATGTCAAACAAACATGCTACAATTTAAGGAGGTTCTTGCATTTCAATATTTTTCTCTTAAGGATATATTTTATTACCAGGAATTTAAAAAAAATAGTATCCTGCAATTTTCAACTAACAAATTTGTAATTTTCCAAGTCTATCCTATTTATAAAACATTACCTCTAGTCTTCAAAATATAGAGTACTCAACAGAAACAAGGGTGAAAGGAGATAGCAGACAGGGTAAGATATGAAAACAATAATAATTTAGTTTATCAAGGGGTTATGAGGGTAGGAGGGTGCGGGAGGGAGGGAAAAAAGAGGAGCTGATACCAAGGGCTCAAGTAGAAAGAAAATGTTTTGGAAATGATGATGGCAATATATGTACAAATGTGCTTGATACAATGGATGTATCGATTGTTATAAGAGCTGTAAGAGCCCCCAATAAAATGATTTATTAAATTTTTTTAAAAGAAAAAGTCCAGGAAAAAAAAAAGAGTACTCAATCTTTAGAAAAGCAAGTTAATACTTACTTCTCATATTCAAGTTCGTTATCTACGCAGAAATAATGTAGATTTGATGCACTCTTTGGTCTACTGTAGAGAATGGCAAAACAAAGGCGATCTGAAATGGAAAAATTGTAATGTTCCTTCCTTCACTTTATTAAAAGAAAAGCATTTAATATATCATGATGCAACTCTTTTCAGATTAACTCAGTTTTATTTGTAGGTGGGGGAGGGATGGATAATTTAAAAATATTCCGGTGGTTAATAATAAGTATGAAAAAATTATTTAAAGAAATAATTGCCTTTAACTATAAATTTCAATGACTTTTCAAGTAACCAATATGGTTTGTTTTATGGAGGAACCCCTCATCATAAAATGTTAGTTTCCCTGGAGTAGGAAATTTTTGCAAATGAGAGCATGTATTATATGGGCTAATCATCAACCTTAAATTAAGCTTATGGTTTTTGCTATTATGTGTATTCAAACTCATCCTGAAGCCAAATCAAAGAAAAATTATATTCCTAAAATTGCTAATTGCTCCAACATCAACATTTACAGAACATCAACAAACCATGGTGAAACTGTTCCTAGGGATCACTACTTCCTTTGTGATTCATAATCACTATTTTTGTTTTAATAGTCAGCGTCAAGAAGGAGAGTTTCTAAGCGATGAGATGATCGTGCGCTCAGGACTGTGGTCTGGCAACAAGTAACCAGGATGGTAGTGGGTAGTAACGCTCGGAAGCTCCACCCTTCTTCCCTAAAAAGAGTTGTCAAAAATTTTATCCACAAAATGCCGTCATCCGCAATAGTTAGCAGTCATACTAGTAGAGCTAGAATACCTTACACTTAATTTTGCCTCATAAAAATACAAGCAAACACAGACACACATAATGTGAGGAGTAAAAAGCAAGAATGGACACAAGCGGCATCCTTTCTCTGCAAAGTAATTTAAAACAAAAAATGTTTTGTCTGTCATTCAAGTCACGAGGTACTCATTTCCTAGCAAATTCAAGGAGAATTTCTGCAACCACAAACACTCAAACGGATGACGGGGCTAGTGCGTCCCCTGCTTTGAATGACCTCTGACCCCGTGCCCAGGGGCGAGGGTTGTTCGCGCTCCTCAGTGGACGTGAGGACACCGCGGCCTGGGGGTCGCGCGCCCCCGGAGCCCCCGCCCGCCCCACAGAGGCGGAAAGCACCTCCACGCCTGCGCCCGGGCTTCCGCGGCCCGGCGCCCTTGAAACAGGGTGCGGGGGCGCCCCGGGCCTCACCTTGAATCACGTCCACCAGCAGCCGGCTCCCCGGGACCTCCCGGCTCATGACGGCGCCGGTCGCGAAGGCCGGGCCAGCTGCTGGGAGCGGCGCGGCCGCGGCCACACCCCCGAAAGTTCACGAGACAAAGTTTAAAGGGCTGCGCCCGGCCCGCGACGACGCCCCTCAGCCCTGACTACCGCCGGCATGCCACTGACGCAGCCGGTTAGAACAGACCGGGGGGCCGACACCGGAAGTCCCAAACTTCTCCAAACAGCCCCTGACGGGAGCAGCACGAAAAGAGCACGGGCTGGGAAACCCCCCAAAGCGCTTCGAGCCTCTGCCTGCCTGCCCTTCGGGGACGCGGCGCCACCAGCAGCCTCGCCCCCAAACTGTCCGCAGTGTCGGACGTCCAGCCAGCGCGTCGGAGCGGCGGACAGGGGAGTTGGACCAGAAAGCATCCTGGAAACCTCGTTCCAGTGAGGGGCCGGATGCGAACCCGCGGGAGCCCGCCGGCGGCCTTGGGCACCGCGCCCCTCCCCACGGCCCTCGAGCGGCCCTCACGTTAGCAGCCACCAGGGGGCGCTGCAGCCGTGGCGACGTCCGCCGAGCCGGGCGGCGGCCCCCTGCTCCCGCCCAGAAGCGCCAGACGGCCGGGCGCAGCGAAGCGTCGGGAGCGGGCGACCTGCATCTTCAGGCACCAAGAGCCACCTCTCGGCGCGGCCCCCAGGTGAAGATCGTCTGGGGTCAGCCGTTGAATCGGATATTTTCCAAATTGCTCACAATTTAAAGGTAAGCGTAAAGCCGAGATGATTCCTTTAAAAAGAACTCTATTCTTAAAACTATAAAAATTCTGGTACAATATGTAAGTATTTTAATTCCTAAGAAGTGTATGAGCCCCCAATAAAATCATTTAAAAAATGTTTATAATCTACATAGAAAAATACCGTAACTCTTAATTTTGCTCCATACAATAGAGTGCTAGGATTGTGGTGTTCATTCATTCCCTCCTTTATATTTTTAAGTTTCCTACAGAAAGGTGTCACTTCTGAAAATCCATTAAAATTTTTCGGTGACACTCCATTCAAGCCAAAAAGCCATTACCTTTCCCACTTTCTTTATAATCTCAGAAAAACCAGAGCAAGCCTACTGTTGTCCAGTCAACTCCAGTTCACAGAGACTCTAGGCACAGCAGAGCTGCCCGTTCCCATGGTTTCTGAGCCTGTAAACCGTCCGTAAGGGGAGGCTGGGAGCCGCATATTTCTCCAGAGAGGCACTGGGGGAGTTATGGCTCACCTTCCCCACGGTAGTGTAAAATGGTCACAGAGGCGACTGAAACTGCATGTGGTGTATGCAGGAACTCTTTGTCCTTGCATTGCGCCTTTTGTGTAAATTTTTTTAAAAAATTAAAAACTGGGAGAAAATACCTGTAACTTATTTAACACCACTGTAACCAAATGAGCATGGCTAACCAGTGATGTTATTTATGTAACCCTGATGCTGATGTGTATGCTGGGGGCATGGAGGGAGAACTCCTTTAAATAATTTTTTTTTCTTCTTAATGTAAGCAATTCAATAGAAAAATAAAGTACAAAAAAGGTAAGTCATTGAAAAATACAGGTGACCATAAAACATTTAAGATGTTTAGCCTAATTAGTAGTTAGGAAAATGAAAAATAAGAGCATTTCATTTCACATGACCAAAATTTTAGAATATTGATCAATTATGAAAACACTGAAGAAATTGCTAATTTTATACAAAGAAGACGGGATAGAGGCCCTCAGGTAGTCTGTCAGTAATTATTATGTACAAACCCTTTTACCCAGCCCAAATCCCTTCTTAATATTTAACTAAGAGAAATACAGACACTAAAGCACTGCCAGGGACGCTAAGAAACATTTGAAACACTGTTTACTATAGTACTGTCTGCAGTAAAATTAACAGAAATCACAATAGTCATCAATAAAATAATTACAAAATTAATAATTATATAATCACTGATAGTCATTATGTGGTACATGGATAGAAAATATTTCTACTGTAGTTGAATGTAAAATAAATACAACAGATATATGTGAAAAAAGATAAAACAAAGCTAGAACATATTTCTACAGGTAAATTTATATGTATGAAAATAAATTTAAAAACAACTGTAAGAATATGCCCACCAAGCTATTAATAATAGTGGTTACCTATTCGGATCTCAAAAAAAAATCACTGCCATGGAATTAATTATGACTCACAGCAATCTTATGAGGACAAAATAGAACTGCCTCTTGAGTTTCTGAGAATTTAAATCTTTTCAGAAATTTACAGCCTCGTATTTCTCCAAAGGAACAACTGATGAGTTTGAACCTTTGACTTTGTGGGTAACAGCCCAATGCGTAGCCCAGTACACCACCAGAGTGAGCTCCTAATCTATTGGGTAGGAAAGGAAACTTACTTTATTGGTGGTTACTTGGGTATTTCATTATAGTTGAAAATAAAAGAAAATGTCACCAGGAGGTCCTCTAGCTGGTGAGCAGGCATGTCTTACATACATCCCCCTCCACCCCCCAACCTCAGTGTGCCACTTGCCAGTTAAGTGGAGTGGAACAAACAGTTTCTTCAATCTAGGGCCTTTTTAATCAGAACAAGACTGATATTCCCCATGAAGACTGGATGGCTGTTAATTTACTTCAAATGACATACACAGCACATATAAAATGTGCACATTTTTCATCTGGAAGAGAGATGGATTGCTGTTATTAAAGCAAGAAAATGAAATTCCAGAGGCGATAATGTAGTTTCTCTGTTATCTACTTTTCTGGAGAATATATCATTTAAGTTCTAAATGCTCAAAATAAGTGGAAGGGGGTGGGGGTACTGGCAAATTTAGTAATTGTTAATATAATGGTTGTTAGAAAAGGACTCTGAATGGTGATGTTTAGTGATGTTAGACAGCCCATGTTTTAAAGACAGTCTACATTTCACAGATACTCCCCACCCTTGCATGAATGGGTTATATTATAATATTGTATGCAGCATATCGAGAGAGTGTTTGAGACTGAATTCTAGATACTTGCCCTGACCTCTCCTCCACAGAGGAGCTGAGTGATGTCAACTAAAAGGGTAAGAAAATTCTGTACCTCAACTGCTGTCATGTATGTGGCAAGTGAGCCTTTCATAAAAGAAGTAGTCAAGGTGTCAATGTGAATCTTAAAGGACAGGAGTATCAACTGTTTCATACCTATTTGCTATGTTTGCTTAATAAATGACAGGTTTTTGGGGGGGAGGGTTCCCTTTAGTCTAGCTTTCATTCAATTTGATAGCAAGATTGAAGGGAAATAGCTAATCTAGACCTACATATCAGAAAGTACTAAAAACAGTGCATGACCACATTGGCTCATACTGATCCATTTCTATCAGAATGTCCTTTTAACGAAGTGCCCAGGTGTCATAAACGACTACTGTCCCAAAGGCACCTGAGAAGGGCAGGGCCAGTGATCTGCTTCTGAAAGGTCACTGACTTGAAAACTCTATGGAGAAATAAGAAAAGTCTGTCCTTCCTAAGATTTCTGGAAAATTTTTGGTCCACAGTCACAGAAGTCAGAATCTAGACCCATAGGGAGGAGAAATCCTAAGGAATTAAGTGAAAGCAGCACTTGTCAGTAAGCAAATATTGTACTACACTCAAAAACTGAGAACCTAATTTTTCTACTTATTAAATATTTCAAAGGGAATAAAAAATAGTTTGTCTTACTTTAAATTTCTTGACAGTGATGGAAACTTACTTATGAATTCTTACACATAATGTACTTTCTATGATATTAATAATACTTACAGTCATATTTAGGACAAAGCACAACTCTAGGCAACCAGACATAGCTAAGTAATTTTTCCCATCAGGGAGATAAGAGAATTTAACATATCAGGGAGTTTAGAAGCATTATTATAATCTAGCTATGGTTGGGGGTGGGAAGACACAGGAGAAAGCATTAAGACCACCCATAAGGAGCCCTTGTACTACTCACGGAGTTGCTAACTACAAGGTCAGCAGTTTCAACCCACCAGCTACTCTAAGGGAGACAGACAGGCTCTCTGCTCTCATAAAGATTTATAGCCTCAGGAACCCTGTACACGGTGCCTTTAAATTGGAATCAATTCGATGACAAGTGGGTATGAAGTAAAATAAAGGAGGCATCAGCAAAAATTTACCTATATCTTAATTTAGAAAAGATATAGGCATAGCCTGTAAGCACATGAAGCGAGCCCTGACGCTTTGTGAGGTTAAATGCTGGGCTGCTAACCGATAGGCCAACAGTTTCAACCCACTAGCCACTCTGAAGGAGAAAATGGAGGCTGTAAATTACCAAAATGATTTAAAAGCTCACAAATTCAAAGGGCAGTTGTACTCAGCATTGTTATTAGTCAAAATAAACTGTACGACAGTGAGTTCCTGAACCATGAAAAAGGCATTAAACATTATGGAAACATACATTAAAGCCACAATGAAATATCCTCTAACACATTAAATAGCTAGTAGTTGTTAGTCTAGTCTGACTCACAGTGACCCAGGAGTGTGCAGAGCAGAACTACTCTAAAGGGTTGGAGGCAGTTTCCAGGCCCACCTTCTAAAAGGATAAAGATATCTGAGTGGGTTTGAACTGTCAACCTTTCCCCTAATAGTGCAGTGCTGAAACTTTTGTATTTGTACCACCCAGGGGGCCACAGAAATGGCTACAATTACCCCTGAGAAGAATGTATCTCAAACGATGGCACTGAATCTGCAGCTTCGGGAGAAGGATATATCTGACCAGAGCACACAGGAGCAGATGACGGGG